TTTTAATTTTAAAAAGATGAAGGACACATTTCAGAGAAAAATATTGTTTTGAAATATAATTTTAAGTGTTTCATTTAAAAAATCTGAAACAAAATAACTTGACTTTTCAAGCTTTTTTCCCCTGATGAAACTATTAATTGAATTTAAACAAAATTTGCTGTTATTTTTGTTCAACATTGTCCTTCACAGAATTAATATTCAGTAAGAAATGCTCCCATAGTTCTACCGGTAATAATATGTTAGACAGAAAAAACACTTAAACTTGCAGATTCCAGGATGAATTTTCAGGAATGATGGATTTAATATCTGTTTAGTGCTAAACTGGGTAAATTGTTTTATAAAGCCATTTGCACAAGCCACCTACAATGAGTTGCCCAGCACATTCACAAAGCTCCAAGGTTTTTGGAGATAGTAAATCACTAATAACAACTCTCTTTTCACTTAAAGAAAGAAAACTATGCAATCATGGAGCTAAAAAGTGTTATATGAGGTAAGTGACTACATGCTTAATGACTACTTGAAGCAATTGTCATAATTTGCAAGGTTGAAAATTCTTTGAAAAGAATTAGGTTGAAATTTATTTGAAAAAAGCCTTATCCAAATAATTCTATTTTAAACCACACATGCACATGAAAGATGAGACATAATCTATCAGTTGTAATCTAATACACTGATTAAAGTGTACACATTTTAACATTGATTTATTGTTGCTCAAAATTGCTGGAACAGTCTTCCACATCTATCACAGCTTGTAAGGTTATTTTCAGTAAATTTTATTTGACAGAGTTATTTGCTGCCATTCTTAAAAAAAATAAATGTAATCTAAAGAATTCACTATTTTGATAAATTCTCTAAAGATTTAATAGAACACACTGTGGCCATGGACAATGTGAATGCATTCAAGGTAGGTCAAGCATATTTTACATTCTATTGAATGGGTCTAGAAATCCAGATTGAATTAATGAGTTCAAATACTTCATCTTTGGCATGGAATTTGATTTATTAAAAGTTATCTTTATTCTTGGAGAAAATAAAGTAGGTTAAATTCAGAAGTTCAAATTTCTAATGCAAGTAGGACAGAAGTATTAATTTATTTGTTTCTGTGATGTTCTTCAGCAAGTAAGACATTAAACTAAACTTCCATTATTTCTACTGCAGAAATTGTAAGAAAGTAATTAAAAAGCATAATAATTCATGTGAGGACAAAAGATTATTGGTCCAGCAGCTTGACTGATCAGTTGGAAAATATTATTAAAGAACTTTATACCAGAGAGAGTGAGAAAGTATTAGGAAAGATAAAAGGCCAGGCAGCAACAAGAGATTGGCCTTTCCTTTCCACAAATACACAGTAGATGCTACAGCAGAGGAAAGAAGGAAAAGGAGCTACTTGTTCCAGTGCAACCCCAGTAGCATGGCCTCCAAGAAAAGGAGCAGCAGCAGCAGGAGGAGGTAGCAGAGCTTACTGTAGATTTTTATAAACAAGTTATTCGGCAAACAGCTGTGATTTTATGCTGATACTGCTGGACCAGAACAAGCAGATCTGCTAAAATTCCCCTGTCCTCTGCTGGATACAAGCTGCTGATGATTGTCATTATTAGATTTGTTATTTCATCCTAGTATAGGAAAGAAAAACTATTCCACAACCTTGCCACAGACTAACGGAACAACTCCACCAACTTCTGGTTTTGTCAAATTTCAGATAGGAGCAGATTATGGTTTTATGATTACCATTCCATCAACAAAAAATGTGGACTTCAGAGTAGATTAAAATGGTTTTCTTCAACTCAACATCAAAACAAATCTACAGTCTTCTAACATAATGTTCTGAAGTATGCCTATCTTGAGCAGCACAGCCTCTGCAGCACACACCAGGATATACCTAATCCTTGATACACTGATGGCGATCGCTGTTCTGTTCTCTACCTGTGTTGGCAGGAAACCTAATTGCCAGAGCCATGCTTTACTGTATTTAAATCTGGAACTCAGTCAGAGGTCTCTGAACAAAATTATCTGTCCTGAGATGAACAAGCAGTCATATCAGGTGGTTTGATAGTCCCTTCTGGCTGTAAACTATGAAACCTAAGGCTTGAACAAACAGTTCCCATTAGGCTCTTAGCATTATAAACAAAAGTTTACTTCATATCTAACATTCTTTTTTGCACTAGAAGAAAACATAAGAACTGCTAAGAACATACATTGCATAACTTGAGCAACAGCCACCATTAGTCCAAAGCCTTTCAGACAATTCTTGGACCTTGCACAGTTTTCTGTGATGTTGCATCATGCATTACATATGCTGTGAAAAACTGGAAAAACACAACATCTGTGGAATTAGAATTGGCCAACAGACAGAAAAATAGATCAAATTTTGTACAATAGGTAGAATAGAATTACCTTTAATCTTGCTTCAGACACAGTGCTTATACCTCCCAAATAGACAAACTGATACTCTGTAAAATGTCTTACCACTATCAACTAAATTAAACTAACTTTAGCCACTGTTATTTAATTATCTTCATTTTTTTCAGATTAATTTAGGCTGAAGAATTAAAAATATCTACAAGCTGTTAGAAAGACATTGCTTTCGTATTTTAAACATTACCACATTCTATAGCAATTGGTAGCTGTCATTTGGGAAAGCACCAGGCGCAGTTATGAAAAATAGTCTGCAGAGCTTTACAGAAAATAAAAATACCATATGCTACCATTCATTGTGATTCCTGGTTTAATGTAAGAAGTCTCAACTTTGACATCTCATGTGCCCAATTTTTCACTAAGAATAAACAAGAGAACTATTAAATCAAAATCAAGTATCGTCATAAGACATTATTAAAGAAATCTGCTTAGCCACAAAACTGGGGGTTTCTGCAGTGTGTAATAATAATATGAACAGAATTTCTATATTAACAGCTTTTAATTTTCTGAAGGAGCAAAATGAAGTATTTCCCACTGGGAATATCTGAAGAATAACACTGCTTAAAATATACTGTTTGGTTTGGGTTTGTTTTTTTAAAAAAAAAAGGATAAAAAGGAATTTTTTTCATCATTATTTGAGCTCTACGGAATATACAGTCTAATTTATCTGTACCCTCAATGGTGACTGGAAATAGCTTATTAAATACACTGATGTTACCAACCTCACATTCAGACTTTCTTGTTATTGTAAATCAAATAAATAATATATGCAGGGCATAACAGCCAACAGATTAAGTTTATGGCTTTAGATCAGATTTCACAGTGGCCAGAAACTCCAAATTATCATTCAGTCTTCCACTTCACCAGAAAATGTTATCCGCTGTGACATATTCACTGAGCCCTACACAATGTTAATAGAAGAATTAAATAATTATATTAATTCATATTACTTGGTTTTGAAATTAATTCTGGTGAATGCATTATAAGCTTTGTTTTTCTTATAGATCTTCTTCAATGCTAATTTACTGTATTTTTGGCAGTGCCACTTCAAAAAACCTGAAGAATAGCCAAGAAAATTAAGCTTCAGGTGACTGGCAAAATCAGGCATTAAGAAAGGGAAAGGTACACACTGCTTTGGCTTTCTGAAGTACTCTCAGGAAGAATTAGAAATTAGTATTAGTGTCAGACTGAAGATGTCTTCAGATTTGAACTGGAATTCCCCACTGCCCTTCACACAATCATCTGTCACTACAAAAAAGAATTTGTAGAAAAAATGATTTGTAGAATATCTTTCCCTGTTAGAAAATGTGTTTGTGAGATTTAAGAATTGCGTCTCATTCGTTTCTTAAAAGTGGTAGGATTGAGAACATCTGTTAGCAAGCACCAGTGAAGAAGCAGGAAGGTATAAGTTTCTACTCATTATAATTTCAGTCTTGGCACACCTCTGAAAAAAGGAAGGAATCAGAGGTCTTGTGATAATTTAATACCTTTTTCATTCTCCTAGCAGCAAGCATCATAGGAAAGTTAAGTAAATTTTGTTAGGACTATTAGACTGAAATATTAAGAAGAAAAACATGATTAAGACCATCGGTTTGTTCTTAGACAACAAAGCAGTTGTAAAACTAATAACTATTTTTGAAGGTATCAAAGGATCTGAAGCTTGTTAGGATGTTATATAAAATTAAAGCATAAAGGTAATGTCAATATTATTTACATGTACTAGCTAGAGGAGTACAGAATTGTTGTGTGTTAGAATGGCAGGCAGTCATTCATCACAGGTGGTCTTGGGTTTAGAGCATCTGTTAGAACTGATGTCAGGCATCCATGCAGTGCAAGGCAACATAGAGTACGCTAAGCGCAGACACCATAACCCAGCGTCTTTATCCTCCTGTGGTTTTTTAAAAAGGTACAAAGAACAAGATTGCATGTCAGCATATGTAGTTGTAAAAGGCAGACAGACACTTCCCAAGAAGACAGCTTTGGATATCAGAGCAGACAAACCCGGTTTTTATCCAACAGTTATATTTTGCATCAACTATTCCATAAAGCAGCTATTACTTTAGTGTGCATGCAATAAGAAAGATGCATAGAGGCTATTTTTTTTTCCTGAGTTCCATACAGAAAACTCTATCTTCAACAATTCATTTTTCAGAGATACCCACATTAAATATATCTGGTTGCCTAGCTCACAGTACTTATTGCAGAATGCAAATGAATGCAGAGACATTTTCCTGTGTTTAGCTCCTAAACCAAGTTTGCTTTAATTCTTTAGGAAGGTAGAGTATCACTTTGCCAAACAATTCTGAGCTTCAGCCATAACTACAAGTTCAAATATTGAGGCTTGGTAAGACATCATTATCTTTTCTATACACCCTCTTAATAACAATAATATAATGTTTATAAAGTAGTGAAGCACCTAGTGAGCTTTTGTTCCCATGATAGTTCACAAAAGTTGATTACCTCCTTTCCCTGTGAACCATGTCCACACCAGGCTAATATAGCAGTGATCAATGATCATTCACATCTAACTCCAGTACTCCAGTTGTCCTAAGAAATTCATCAATGCTACAAACTACTGACCTTACCCTAAACCCATCTGATTGCAGGCCAGTTGGCTTAAGTTTTCTTGCCAGTCATCAGCACAAACGTGGTTATCAACAGCTGACCTGTGAATGGTCAGGAACATCAAGGAATTCATATCTTTAGACAGGGTAACTGCAAAGAAAAATAACAACTTCGCTATTACTTCACATTATTAGTTTTATAAATGGCATACTGAAAACAGACAACTACATTCAAAAGAGTTTTCCAAGATGCTTGCACTTTTGCTGATTTTATATGCTTAACAGCTAATTTAATTGAAAAGTAATTTAAAACCAAGGCAACCATGGCTATCAGAACCTTGCTAACATTGAATAGCATGAGACACTAAACAGCAAAGGCATCTTGAGGATTAGAATACATCAGAATATTCTTGACTCACCGGCACAGGTTCACATGGGTTTCTGATAGCCTTTATCTTGTTAAATGATGTTTTACCCCACAAATAGTCCAACTGAAATCACTAAAGTAATTTGTGCAATGAATGCTGCTTGACATAAGAGTGATACCACCACTTGACTCTTGGCAATATGCACTGTTCCTATCATAATAATATGTGGAGGTAATTAGAGAAAGAAAAAACAACTATTGTTTACAAGAAAGATCACAGCCATTGCTTCTCTTTTAATCCATGTATAAAAGTGTGTGAACTGCAAGCATCACCCAAACATCACTTCTAGTGCAGAGTGCAAAACAGCAGAAACTTACCACAGTCCCATTCATCTGAGCTGTCCCCGCAGTCTGCTTGCCCATCACACCAGAGCTCACGTGGCACACATTCGTGGTTGGCACATTCAAGTTCACTCTCTTCACAAAATGCTGCAAGGACAGAAACGTAATTTCACTCTGTGAAAGAAATTACCAATGTGAAGTTTACATTGAGACAGAAAAAAGTGAGAAGGAGGTAGTGAAATGAAGGTAGGCACAGATCAGATTTATGCAGCAAGAAAGCGTGACAGATTTGCGAGAAAATTCAGGGTGGGCATCACTGAGACAGAAGACGGTTACTGCCAGCCAGTTGCAAACGGCATCCCTCTCAAAGGGAAGGAAGGGTGTCTGGAAATAGCAAGATCTATGATTACTTAGGGTCATTTGGGGTCTTGTAATATGAAAAGTGTCTAAGCCTCTCACAAGCTTTATGTGAAAATACTGTGTTCTCCTTTTCAGGAGACTATTCCAAATCTGTTTATTTCTTCACATTCTTTGAAAACAATATTTCACTGTAATGCATATGTATTTCCTTTCACCCACAGCAACTCTCTATTCACTTTTGGATCCTCCTTTGCTATTTAAAATCATGGAATTATTTTTATCTCAGCTTTAGACATGAGGAATTGATGTACAGATAGACATGCTCCAGTTCACAGTTGGTTGCTAGCTGGCAGCATTAGACAGGAAATTCCTGAATCTCTGTCCAGTGCAGGAACCACAAGAGCTTCCATTTGCAAGTGGACTTTTAGCTTTCCCCCAACCATAAACAAACCCCCTCTCAAAAGGCAGGTGTGTAGCATTACAGTACCCTCCTCGCTAATGCACTTCTTTTCCAGCTTCTACAAACCCCATCATTAGGGAATTTTGAGAGCTGGGGGAGGGTGGAGAGGGAGAGAATGTGTGGAAGGAAGCTGCATTCAGTTGTGCCTGTGTCTGGCTGTTGTATAGCACCTATACTGCCATACAAACCAAGCATTTATTTGCAACCCTAGCGCAAAATGTGCTCCGCAGCAAAAACGATACAGATACAGCAAGCAGTGCTGCCTACTCTGACATAAGTGATCTTTCTGGCTCTGGAATCAAGTATGCTAACCTAGAAAAAGTTCTCTAACTCTGCCTTCCAGAGAGAGCATATTTCAAAAGCTGGAAGTCAGCAGCTAGGGAAACTCTGCTGACATTTTGGAATACTCAACCCCCAATGCCAAAGCAGAGAGAAAATATAGTCTGACCATTATAGGCTAGCTTAACCTAAGGCCTTGGAGAATCTTTTCTCTGCCATGATCTCAATGTGTGATCATGACCAAATCACTTTAATACCACCTTCCTGTTCTTCAGATTACAGCACACAGACTACTTGAAAGTTAAATGGCATAATTTTCACAAAGAAAAGCACATTCAGAAATGTTCTGCGAGCTGCCTCTTCCAAAAAAGAAATCATGTTAGATCTAGTGATCTATGCACGCTGACACACAGTCATTTTGGCAAATATATTCATATGCTCCACATAACACATAAAATGTGCCTACCATCCTGTCCCTGCCAACAGAACTCCAGAGACTCAGGAGCAACTTTTTAAAAATTATAAAATTATATCCTAGAGTCCCAGCAAAAACACTGAAGTACCAGGATAGCCCAGAGAATTAAAATTTCAGCTTTCACCCAAGTTTACCAAGCATCTCTTCTTTCTTGTGCAGACTGGGTGTCACCCAGTATGTCTTTTCCATTTCCTTGTCTTGGGGACATGCCCACACACCAGGTTTCCTCAAAAGAAGAGAATTCAGAGTACCACTAATATATTCATGAAAGGCAAGCTAACTTCTCACAACACCCACTCCCAGCTTTGCATGCAGGGTGGGAGCCTGGAAAGCAGCTGCTGTTTGTAGGTCTTCCATCTCTTCCCATCCCACTAGTCAGCTACGTAGTGGAAACAGAGCACAGAGAAGCTCCCACAAGGGACCAGGGGACCTATTACACACTGTCAGCACTTTGAGCCAACTTACACTGTGCACATGGACAGGATGCCTATACCATCCCTGTACCATGCTAAGTTTTGTATCTTTGATACTTATCACAGTTTGGATTGTAGAAAAAGCCTGTGGAGCCAAGTGGGGAGATAGCATCTAAGAAATGACAGGCAGAAGAAAAAATCTAATAAAGCAGTGAGATATACGAAATTTACTGAAGAAAAGATCAGAAGGAAAATCAAGTGGAAGTCAAGAAAAAAAGAGCAGTGAGCAGCTATATCTATATGGAATGAAGTTCATAAAAGCTGGGAAAAGCCATCAAGAAGCTGCAAGGAATAAAGAAAAGAAGCACGAAGACACAAGAAGGACAAGAGTGAGGGGGGAACAAATGAGAAAGGACTGGAGTGGCCAAGGAGACAGCAAGGATCCAAGGATGTGAACAACAGAGGACACAAGATGATGAAAGAGATAAATTGGTGCCATAGAAAAATGGAAAAGAAAACTGAGGGAATGACTAAGCCTTTCCATCTGTAGAAAACCTTTTGAATTTCATTTATTTTGCACCCCAAGATCCCAAGAATGAAACTAACAAACTGCATAAGCCCTTACAGCAGTTCTTTTCATCCATCATGTCAGGACAGTCTGGGAAACCATCACAGATCATAGTGTGTTTGATGCACAGCTTCTTCAAAGGACACTCCCAAAGACCCCTTTCTCCACAACCTGGAGGCAAAGAAGCACAGTTTTGAATACATGCAATATCAAATCAACTGTTTTCTTCTTAGTAATCCTGGAAGACCCAAAATCTTTTACCTTGCAATATACATTTTAAAAGGTACAAGGAATAGTTACTAATCAAGAAGTGGAAATAAGATTGTCACAGTGCACACTTGGTAAATGGGTATAAAACAGATAACACTCCATAATACTTCAGTTCTTTTTAAATAATAACCTGCATTATGCCACACATATCTATAAGTAATGTTTTAGGTATTAGCTCAATTAGCTCAAAACCCATACAGCACTACTCTTGAAATACTAGTAAATTTACTAGTAATATATAAGCTTTTCTAATCCTGAGGTTCATAGAGTTTCCTTTAAAAGCATATCACACAGACCTTTGGTCTTTCCAAAGCAAATCCCATGACAGCATGGAATCTCCATGAACCAGTGTAGAAGTATGTATTTTTTCCTAGCAGTGCTGATACAGAATCTAATGCAGATCACAATGAAAGGTAGAGCGATGCTGTGAGTATGGACCACAAACAGTTTTCCTGGTTCCATAATCTGAGACCAAACCATTTTGAAAAAATTAGAAAGACCTAATGGCTGTAGGAATCTTCAAGAGTATTTATTATTATGCAAGGAACACACTGTATTATTGTCTCTCCAAAGTCCTGCTAACCAGCCTCTCTGATTTCAAGAAGAATAGTTATAAAACTGTATCAAAGTGCTTTGACAGTAAATTTCCTGTTTGTCACCTAGAAGAAATTAAGAATGGCCCAAGGTACATTTTAGAAAAAATGTTTCCTCTTGTTTTATTTCACTATTTATTGCCATCAAGTAATAAACCACTTCACTGTGATACCAGTTTAAATACTTTGACATACTGATGTCCTGAACATCTGACATTCTGGTTTTAGAGGAAGCCATAAAAACAACATGTTCTCCTGACTAAAATAGATGGTTTGATTGCCTTGCCATTTGTTTGGCCTGTTCTATACATGATAATACTAGTTTTCATTTTAATGCAAGCTCAAATTCAGGTGACAGCCCTGATATCGCCCCACACAAACAGCTGAGGTATAAAATCACAAACTGCATTTGAAGCAGCAGCTCTGCCTGGACCTGGAACCACAGCAGCATACTAGCAGTAAGTTACTGAGCAAGTATGTTGTTTCCAAGAAGTGTTATTTCAGAAATGAGTATTTTACAAATATGAACCAGAGAGTCTCTACTAGCTCATATGATTACTAGAAAAATCTACTCTCATTTTAAATGTAACTGGATGTCTGGAGTGCTTGATTTTGTTTAGATTGAAAAAAAGTGTAAATAAAAGTTATAGCACAGAGAAATAAATAGCCTTGAGCCTGTGAAACTAATTCCACGTGATGAAAGAATTTTCTTGGGTATCACCATCTGCCATGTCTCCTTCTTGACAATATTTGTGATAACTATTAACGAAAAATTAATTGAAAACAAACAAAACCTTTACTCTAATAAAGAACAAAGTCAGTCAGTCATGTTAGGAACTTGATATTAGAATAAAATAAAAAAAAGCTTAAAAAAATAATTAATTTATGAACCTTCCAATTTTTAGCAGTTTACCATTAATTAAATACATGTTTGCTTTTCCCCTTCATCACACATTATAGTGTTACGCTGTGAAGTGTTCCATGACTATCCAAAATTAATCTTTGAGTACAACACAGACAAATACAGAGACAATTCCCTATGAAAAATTCACTACTTGCTAAATTCAGTGTTCAAATATACTGTTTTGTTGGTAGAAGCCACCTACCATTGGGTGTATTTATATTTCCCCTCTAAATATTTTTGTGGCATACATTTTTCATTTAATGACAATGAAATGGGAGTGAAAATGGAGGTAGGAAAACTTGTCCATATTTACATTACCCCATGTTTTGGCAAGATATAGGCATTCATGTATGATCTTACTGTTATTCTTCTTCAAAATATGAAGCAAGTTACCATTTGTTATTCATATGTATATTCCCCATATAATTATCATTAAGTTATTAACTTTAAGACCAACACATTTTTCTTTTCACTAAAATCCTACAGTTAGACTCAGATTGCAGAAAATAGTGAAGGACAATACTCATTTTGAATGTTACATCCTCAGTTTCTTCAGTACTCTTTTAGGACCATCTTCTGGTCTTTGCCAGAGGCACTGTTCATCAGCCAGTAAATTAATACAATTACAATTAAAATTGGCTGATTACAATTCAGCATATTTAATACCACAAACTCTCTTGATGTCTATCATAATAATACTTCTTAGAAATTATTTTACTTAAATGCACTCAGAAGTCTCACATTCAGAAATCTGGGTGAAATTTTCTCCCCAAATCCTAGTCTAGATGGCACTAAAGTCTTATGTTTTCATTACAATTGCATGTGTGAGATTTCCTCTCACAAAGATCATGTGAAAGAATGACAGGGGTTCCTAACAGGAGTAGACAGTGGGTGCTGAATACAGCTCTACTCTGCATGGGCAGAATATACCTTAGTCCCTTTGGAGTGTTATACCTTACATTTTTGGACAGAGTAGCTTAAGCATCCAAAAGCTGTAGCCAGTCTTTTCCGGCCTCCTCCTTCCTGCACTGTGAAGTTGTTCCATGTCTGTCATTTAAGTAATTTCAAATACAAGGTTTTTAATTTAAATTCTGACTGTTATTTAATGATGTAAAACCAATTTTGAAGGATAAATCTAATAAAATGTGTGCTAGACATTTAGACACGTAAAGATCATCAAGTTTTGATTTTGTCCTGCACACATAGAATATGAATGAGTCAGAGACAGTTACTTCTGGAGCTCCACAAGGACTTTCTGTTCTTCAGTAACAGCATTACCCCTGGTCAGTGTAATGTCACTCTGACAGCGGTAATTTCCTAGCAGATACAGTCTTCTGTATTTATAGAAACTGATAAGAATTCTGCTGATTGTTAGTGACATTCTGTCTAGACTATAGAGACAGAGAGAGACCTACTCAAGAAATGAATGTTATATATTAGAGCAGTATTTCATATGTTAATGTCTAGGAGAATAAAATTATCCTAGAGGATGCATAGCTGCTAGTGCTCTAAGGAGTTAAGTCCAGGTGACAACAAAAAATATTTAGCAGGGAGGACAACTGAGACAATTGATTCAAAGGTAAAGAGCTGACAAACTCTAGAAGGGTCACTGTGACCATCAGCTCTGCCTTTCCTTTATAATCCAAACAAGAGGATGACCTAGTATGAAATCTTGTCCCAGTGAGCATTTTTTTTTTCTTTTTGCTTTCTTTTTGCAGAGAGGGAGGAATTTGGCAGAAAGAATTTGCAGAAAGAGGACAGAGAATACAAGCATGATTTGAAAACTCCCAGAGACTGAGAATACATCGTGTCTAAGCAATAAATAACCACTTGGTTACTCCAATCATTGAAACAATCTGCTCTTAAAAAGGAAGCATTTTTAGAGCTGACAAGCTTCAATTTTAGCCTTGCTTCCGCTTTCAGGTGTTGGAACTTATTTTATTTTTGTGCAGCTGAGTAGAAGTCTTTTATTGCCACAGTTTTAATGCTCACATAAATTGTGCTTCCATATTAACCTGCTCTCTGTTGAGGAAACAGGTTGTGCACCTTAGCCTTACTCTGCTGGAGTGTTTTCCAATCCTTTACTCACATTCACACCTCTTCTCTAAATCCTTAGTGATTTATAAATATTCTCTGTGCCCCTAAGGATGCCAGGCCAGCATGCAGAACTCCATGGAGCCTACACCTTCGTCACATAAAGAAACAGAATAAACTCCCTTCTCCTCCTCAAAATTCTTCTGCCAGAATGTACAAGGACAAATAGTGACCAAGAGATTTTTGGTTATTCTCAAGCTCATTACATTCTCTTAAGGTAAAAGTCAAGAGCATCTCTACTCAAGTAAACTCAGAAATATACTGGGGAATAAACTGTAGGTACCAATCCTTGTACCCACAGCTTGAGGTTGGCCAATCTGAAAAAACATGTAATTCTTGACCCTTGCAGTACAGAATCCATTTCAGCAACACAGCTCTTTTGTCAATACATCATAATGAGAACATTATCATGTATAAATGTAAAGTTATATTTAGGAATTCAAGATTTAAACTGCCAGGAATTCATGTTTTAGCTCAGTAGATCCTCCAGCAATATCAAAAGAAATAAATCCGCAGCATTTTTTATCTTAATCACTAAAAGAATATTCAAACAACCTGGAATACGGTTAACAGAACCTAAATTATCAAATATCACAGTGCTGACATTAACCAAGAAGGATTCTTGCTACAGTATTTTTTACTGCCACTAGTCTTAAAAAATCAAAAGCACTTTCAAACATATTTTTCTTAGAGAAAAAGGGGCTTATCTCTGAACTGTCATGCTATAGGTCAAATAAGTGAAAGAAAAACAAAACTCATTTGCTAATGCTTCAACTACTCTCCATTCAAAAGACTCAATTCATCAAATGTATTTACCACAGCTTTCCTCGTCGCTATCATCCTCACAGTCAGCATGACCATCACATCTTCTGGATGCCAGGACACACCTCCCAGAACGGCACTTGAAGTGGCTGGGTGAGCATTCTGTCGATGACAAAGAACAGGGAGAAACAAGACTCCATAACCTGCAAGCTTAATCATCCCATGGGAACTTACTTATTTATCACTATGACTGTTTTGGAAGAGTGAATGACAGGAATAGAAAGCTTGTGCGATACTAAACTGGAACTATGTAGCAGGCAAGATTCTTAACAATTACACTGTGAACGAGGCAGACCAATATTTTCCAGAGCTCACTCACGTGCTACCCTCTGTCAAATTTCAGAGCTTTGCCAAATAACTGGCATACAATGTTTAGACTATAGGCATGGATTTTTTTAATCTACTTTTCTCACTGTTGTGGTGTTGTGTGAAGCAGAAATATATCATCTGATGTGTTGAAATGAGTATAAGAAATGTCCAGTAATTAACCCTTACATCACTTCTGCCTCATCTTACAGAGTATCATTTTGAGAAAGTTTTATTTAGATGTTTTTGAAAAACCCCACTCATTTTTTCACGCTGCATATGTCACTGACTTTGATGTACAACCTCCATCATATGTGCCTTTTTTTTTTCCTTCCTACAAAATCTCTCAGATATTTAATACAGTTCCTTAGGTAAGTTTTACAATTCAATAAGCAATTGTAACAAAAACAACATCAATGTACTCGGGAGCCTTAGAAAATAACATTCTAATGATAAAAGGTATGTGAACTATACTGCCAACATTTAAGAAGAACTCTTTATGAAGATAACTAGGTTTACAATGCATACTGGCTTGGCCAGTAGTACTCGTGGATTCAGCACTGAGTGGAAGAGAAGTTAAACAATTCAGCACATTTTAATAACGCAGGTATAGTTAAAGTTGGAATATCACCTACATTTTGTAATCATAAACATTTTAAATGCTCTCAGAAGCCTAATTTATTTTGTTACATGTGTTTTTTTCAGAAATATTTTTATAAGATTTTAAACTTCCCAGGGAAGACTTTCTAACCAACACGGGAAGTCAGTAGAAATCTGGCATTGAATCAGCATAAAATTCTAATAATAAGTGAACTCAATACAACTCTCATAAGACCCCTTAGTTAGTTACACTTTCTCTAAAAGAATACTAAAGCCCTCTCCTTTTTAATTGATTTTCCAGTAATACCTATTTCAGTGCTAAGATGATCAATAAGCAGTGAATCAGTCTACTACACAGAGTGCCTCTAATTAAACTGAGATTTTTTTTAAACTGTAATTTTTATAATTGAACAGAATTTGTCTCTAGAAACAGGACACTAGTCCTGTATGCAGTTGTATATTTAAAATATAACCATTATATATTACATTTCAAAGCCAAATGATCTAATAACACAAGGAGGAAGGCAAAAACTGGAACACGAGAAGTTCCAGACAAACTTAAGGAAAAACTTCTTTACTGTGAGGATGTCAGAGCACTGGAACAGGCTGCCCAGAGAGGTTGTGGAGTCTCCAGCTCTGGAGATGTTCAAAACCTACCTGGACGCTTTCCTGTGCAACCTGTTGCAGGGAACCTGCTTTGGCAGGAGGGTTGGACTAGAGGTGAGTAGTAGGAGGAGAGTGGGAACATGACCAGCATACTGCAGGCACTGTAGCACACATCATCTCACTATTTTCCCAGCTACTTTACTGGTGTTTTGGCAATAAAAAGAAAAGGTATGTCAGAATCCCCACAGACCTCACATCTGCTGACCACTGCAGAAGGAAAAGCTGCACAGCTTCTCTCTCCATACATACAAAGAATACCTAGAAGTATTTAAGGCAATTTCACTCTTTTGTGCCACGTTCACACCCACAATGATTAGTATTATGGCTGAACTCAAAAACTTAAATTCGTCAGTTGCTACTGAAGCTGGTTTGACACAACCCTCTACAAAACTTTCCCCAAACAAAAAACAAGTGCAAACAATAGCTGGCGAAGACAGGACATTACAATATATTTTTCAGACCTGTCATGGGTCTCAGCTTTTTTAAGATTGCCACGAGTCTGCCCCCTGATTAGAAAAGTATTATTATATCACTTAAATAGGTAAAAAAGTGAAGTATAAACACAAGCAGGCAGTAGGTGTGGTGTTAACAACAAATAGCAAACACTGACTTTCACAGACTGAGGGTAATTGATCCTTCCTTTGAACAGATTTCTTATGATAACTTCCTCTTATTTGCCAACTGTAGGTATCCAAATTCCCCAAAACCCAGTTTGGAATCATTTCCACAGTTTAAATATTGCAATTTAAAGAGGAGATATGGGGAAAATATCAGCGACTTTGGGAACCTAATTAAATCTTTTATTTCCTGTAACATGTATTTAAAGGAGTTACCTTCTACATCTTCATCTGGTGTTAGACAAGTTTGATTGTCTGAGTTCTCATCTGGGAACTGAGTGCAGTCAGTATCCTCTGGCCACTGCAGACCTACAATCCCAAGCACAGACTCACAGCGTTCCTTAGACTGTACACATAATGTCCTGAGGAGACAAAGTGGAATTGCACAAAGTAATTGAATGAAAATCTTAGAAATTCCCAGTTATTGCAAGTTAACAATCCTAGCCAAATTTAAAGATTAAGATAAGGAAAAAAAGTGTTAATTAGATGTTAATTAGATGTCTTTACTAAAAAAAAAAATCAAAATATACATTGCTACTGTTGAAACATTATTTTAAGTTACTGTATGCAGACTATTACCTTAGTTAAAACATAGTAGTCAAATAGAACTACTTGTAATCACCCTCTCCTCTGCAAGGGGTGGCAGAAAACCATCCCTTGGGATGGCAGAAGCACTAACTGCCCTCCTTCAGGAAAAAAAGCCAAATACATTTTGTACCAATGAGATGCTACATCTTCTGATGAGGCTACCTCGGAAACCATGTGGTTTCAGAAGGACAAAATATTTAAACCTGCAAGCAAAAGAACAAAGAACTTCCCAGGGTACTCAATAAAATTAAAAGTTTGGGGAAAATCAAAGCACAGATCAACCTAGTCTTGAGAACACTGTCATAAAATCATAGAACAGTTTGGTTGGAAAAGACCATTACGATCACCTAGTCCAACCATAAACCTAGCACTGCCACATTCACCACCAAAGCATGTCCCCAAGTACCACATCTACACATCCTTTAAATACTTCCAGGGATGGTCAGAGCCACAGAAGCTAGTATCACATCTCGAAAAAGGCATAAATATAGTCCTCCTGCTGCCTTTTTTTTTTTTTTTTAACCATAGAAACACAGGACTTGTCACACAAAATTAGTTCAGTCTATCTAGATTAATGTCTCTCAAAATACCCTGTGTCAAACGTTTCAAAATTACAAAGAGAAAATGTATAATAGAAAAATCCCCTATTATTTTAAACATTATTTTAAACATTTAGCAACTACTTTTGCCTGGAATAATAACTGATGTGCTGTTCAACACAATAGTCTTGTATCTGCGGTATTTGGAACCCCTGTTTGTTTCAACTACCTCTATTTTTTTTTTTTTAATAATTTTTGCAGAATATTAACTAGGCAGTATGAGATTAGGAACCTCTACATCCTTTTCCTCTCTTCTCCCAAACAGAAACATGCATCATGCTTAACAGGTATTCTTAAAAACTCTTCAGTTGGCAAGATTTCATATACTTCCTTGTCACTCACTCTCTGTGGAGGTCTGACTGACAGTAGGACCACGCGGTCCTCCACTCACCCCTCCCCCCCAACCTGGTGAGATGGGATGGGAGT